GTAAAGTAGTTCTTTAAAGTGCTCACGATGGACAGTCAGACCGGTGGACTTCCACAGACGCTCTGCTTTTTGATAGGAGCGTCGAAGACCACGAGTCTGATAATTTAACCATGGTGTCCGGGAACTAACAGAGCAATAACTGGTTTTGAGAGGAGCCACCTGATTTAGAATGGCAAGACAGTGTTCATTAAAAGAATTAGTTAGAAGCTCAACCTTGTTTGAGGAACTTTTAAAATTAAAAAGAGAGGAAAACTCAGAAATTATAGAGTCGGCAATAAAGCGCCTGCGCCTAGTAGAACCTTGAGGATGGGACTCTGAATTAACAGATACAGTAAAAGAGACTGAGTTATGGTCACCTAAAACAACTTCATTTAAATTCATGTGGTCAAGGGAAACACCATAAGTGAAGACCAAGTCCAGAGTGTGCCCAGCCGTATGAGTAGGCCCTGCTACATGCTGAACAAAGTTGAAAGAGTCCAAAATGCTCAGAAAATCCTTAGTGGTACTGTTTGTTGAGTCATCCACATGAATGTTGAAATCTCCAACGATGATGACCTTGCCCATTTTAATAGTGGAAGTTAAAAAGTCTTGTAGGTCTGACCAAAAAGACGCAGCAGACCCAGGTGGACGATAAATTAAAATGCCGTATATGGGCTGTTCTCTTCCAATTTTTATCATAAGCATCTCAAAAGAGTTGTAGCAGCTTGACGAAATCATCTGGCATAAAAAAGTCTTTTTAAAAATTACAGCTGTTCCACCTCCTCGTCCAGATATCCGAGGTGCACAGAGAAATGAGCAGTCAGCGGGACGAAGCTCTAAAAGATGTGAGACTTCATTCTCACGTTGCCACATCTCAGAGATAAACATGAAGTCAAGCTTCTCAGAGCAGAACAAGTCATTTAAAATATAAGACTTATTGGCGATTGAGCGGGCATTAATTAACATCCATTTAAGACTGCGACTCACCAGGACAGGGGTAGAGTTTCCAAGGACAGAGTCCGCGCTATGCGGTAAGCCGCGCAGCAAAAAAGGGTTCCTGCCGCGATGAGGCTTGACTTTTCATGCTTTCAGATGACATCCTGGGTGGTAAACATAGTGGGTTGTGGGGATTAATCCAGTTCCGACAAGTTTCAGCCGAATCTCACCGGTAGCAACCCAGGAATAGAGCCCCCGAAGGTCCATCTCTTTCCGAAGACGACGGAGCAGAACGTGAAGGCCGGCTCGCTTCCCCCGCTTTCTCCGACGAGGCCGCTGAAGCAAAAATGAGCTAACCGGCAAGAGTGGAGGTAGACCTGGTGCTGCGTCGCGCTCTAACGGCGGTAGGAAAACAGCCTCGTTTTGTTGACTCTGAAAGCTATCCATTGCAGGTCATAACATTGAAGAAGTTATGACCTGCAGTCTATCTGGGTCAGATATAAACCAAGTTTAGGTGGAGTTTGTTTTTGCTGTGCTGACTTTTTACCGTCTGTTACAATAACTCGTACTGCGTGCTAGCTAGCATGACGGAGTTTGTCACTGATGTTGAACTTTATTTTATTCATAAGGTTAGTTAGTAGAGTTGCCAACTGTCCCGTAAAAAAGGAAACCATCCCGTAAAAAGACGGAATCGTCCCATAACCAGAGAAAATATCACGCGTTTCGTACTGAGCTGAAAAGGAGCACAGTTTGTCCCGTACTTCAGGTAGAATGAAAAAGACACAAAGCTGGAGTTATTCTGTGTCTTTGCGCTGCAGCTGTTTCTTCTCCTCTCATTCTCTACACTCCCTCTCCTGTTGCTACTTCAATCATGAAACTGATCAGTGATCAGCTGATCTGCCTTTCTGACGCAAGTCCCGTCTCTCTTATTTGTTTATTGCCCACTTTGCACCATATAGAGAAAACCAGCGGATGTCGCGCTAAACGACAGCAGCACGTTTAAGCTTGATCAGCTGTTTTTAGAATATATTTAATATAAATTTCTAGTTAAAGGCTGGTTATTGAGTAACTCACTCATTTCAAATGAAAACAAAATGGAAATAGTTGTTTTCAATAGCCATATTCCTTGGAGCCAACTAACAGATTCACTTGGCTGTTTGCTACCTGTCTTTCTGATACTGTAAGCGGCCTGGGTGTTCTCCTGGACAGTTCCTTTATACTTGACAAAAAAGTCTCCACTGTAGTTAAGTCTAGCTTTTACCAACTACGCCAAATTGCCAAGGCCAAGCATTACATACCCTGTAAGGACCTTGAGAAACCTATCTATGCCTTTATCGCCTCTAGATTAGACTACTGTAACTCCCTCTATATTGGCCTCCAATCTACCCTTCTCCGCAGACTGCAGCTTATTCAAAATGCCGCGGCACGCCTTTTAATGGGAACTGGGTGGTTTCATTCTATCACCCCTATCCTCGCTGACCTGCATTGGCTTCCCATCAAATACCGCATTGATTGTAAAATTCTATTGCTTACCTTTAAATTTATAATTAACATTGCTCCCAGCTATCTTGTTAAACTTCTCAGCTTGTACACTCTTAGGAGAGCACTGCGATCAACAGGCCAACTACTCTTAGTGCAACCTAGGTCCAAGCTGAAGACCAAAGGTGATCGCGCTTTTGCCATAGCTGAACATAACTTCTGGAATAATCTTCCTGCTGCTCTTCTGAATCGGTTCAATCTTTTAAAACCCATTTTGAAAACCCATTTATTCAATCTAGCCTTCCCTAGGTAGTGTCCGTGTAATGGGTGTGTTAAAAAATAATTTATATTTCACCGAAGATCCATCCTGTAGTGTTATTTTGCTTTGTCAGTATTGGTTATGTATATGTGTTAATTTATATATATTTATTTTCTGTATATGTATTTTGGAAGTATTTATTTTGTTTGTGTGACCTTTGACTTCTCATGAAGTCACTTCCTGTAGCTGCGCGCTATTGTCCTCAGTAGCCTAGAGGCTCCACTGAGGAGAGGTGAGCGTATGCTAGTGCTCTCAGTTACAGAGCGAATAAACACAGTTAAAGCAACCAAAAGTAATTCAAACACTGCTCGTTCCCTTTGTGCATTTTGTCTCACAGTTCTGCTAGATTTTTTAGTGTGAATTGTTGTTTCTCTGACGAGTACAGCACTTTATTGTAACATGCTAATTAGCCAATGTCAGGTTAGGGCATAGAAGCATGCAGGTGGTTTCTCATGTGGTCCATGATTTTTCTCTCTCCCTTGAAGGTGTGCATGGAGAAACCCAGTAAGTTGAAGTTGCTGTACTTTTTTAATTGGTTATATATTTTCATACGTACATTTGAGTATAAGTTGATTTGTTAATTGGATGTGTTGTGATGTTGCACCTCAGTTGCATAGAGTTTAAAGACAAACGGGAACTCATTAGTTCCCATTTTTTGGTGAATTGGTGCCTACGGCATTCACCCAATAAGGTAAAATAAAGAATAAAGAGAAACAGGAACAATTAACATAATAGTGAGGATATTACCTTAGTTTTGGAGGAATGAAAATGAATGCAAAATAAAGGTCAGATGCAGATTATAATTTGGCAGCGTTATGTTCACTATTATGCAGAGACATTGTACACATGAACTAAAATTCCAATTTTGATACATTTTTGAGCATATTTCCCTTAAAATGGTTAACTGAAAATGTTGCATGATTAAACAAATGAAGTACAATGCATTTGATATATTTAATATTTCATAAAATAAAACACAACACATGCTCTACGTAGACTTTTATTAATATTCAATGATGAAGAATCAGGAATACCAGAGACAAGATGCTTCTAAAATCAACAGAAAACAATCACCTGGTAAAAATAATACATTAAGTGGGAAACCAGACATTAAAATACACACCCTTATTATTTTCTTATCTGTCTGCAATGTTTTAGCTTTAATAATCTCCAGCTAATGGTACAACTGTACGATAATAAACAGATTACTACTGTGTAATGCATGCCCTCTTTGCCCGTTTTCCTGTTGCCCTACCTACTCCCACTATAAATCCCACAGGAGTTCCCACCAGAGCTCCAGCTGCAGCCACCACAGCAGCTACTGCAGCTACAGGGGCAGCTGCAACACCTCCTGCAACACCTGCTCCACCAGCAGCACACTCCAAAACATCTTCAATGAATGAATTCTCATTTTCTGCTTGTTCTTCTGCTTGGTCAGTATTCATCTCTGGACTTTCACTGAGAATTTGCTCAATTTTTTTTTCTTTGGCATGCTGAGCATTTTTGAACATGTCATTGGTGTAGACGTTTCCTCCATTTTTATGAACCATTGTATTGATCTTGTTCAGCAGCTCACGGACCTGAGATGGATCCTTGTCTTTGTTGTCAAAAACATGATATCTTCCTTGGCACTGACTGATGAAGTCATGAACATCCTTATTTTGAGAAATTAAATCGTTTATGGTATCTCCTTCATCTTTCAGCTGGTCTCCACCTGTGAACAAGGCAATAGTATATTTTTCGGCTCCTTCTCCAAATGTTTCCTGAATGATTTTCACTGTTTCCTTTTCTTCTTCTGTGAATCTGTCCAGTTTGATCACAACCAGGAACACATGAGGACCAGGAGCAGCAAAAGAGATGCATTTAGCAATCTCCTCAGCCACATCTCTATGTGATTTTATGGTGTCAAACAGACCTGGAGTATCAATTATAGCCAACTTTTGGCCATCAAACATGGTTGTTTGCTTCTGACATTTTGTTGTGACTGAAGAGAAAGACCGCTTAGACTCAAACTGTTTTTCTCCCAACATGGTATTTCCTACTGCACTCTTGCCAACTCCAGTTTTCCCAACAAGAAAAATTCTGAGGTCTGGTTTCTCTGAGCCTGTGGGAGACAAACAACAGTGAAAGTATTGCAATAAAAAATTACACTAAAAATACAAAGCAACAACAACAACAAAAACCCAACACTCGAAGTATCTTTCATAAGAACTATATGTATGTACGTGTGTATGTATATATATATATATATCCAATCCAATGTTATTTATAGAGTACTTTAAAATACCCAGCACAGGACCAAAGTGCTGTACAGAAAATACGT